AAAAGATATTAAGACATTTGACTACTTCATAATTATACATGAATCATGTAGTCTTTTTTTCATAAAATAACGTAAATACAATGATGATAAATAAAACTGAAAATTATGTAAGAGCTATAATAAAAAAAATAGTTAAAAGACATATAATCTGATTTATTTTCATTAGTAGAATTTATATTTCAATTATAATTTGAAATGAAATGATGTGATTCTGATTGAAACAAAGGTCTAAGATTCTGTATTTCTAAAATATAAATACCATTTTTAATTACAATAAAACACAAAGTTTTCAATGGGCTAAACGAAGGTCTAAAGATTCTATTGATGTGATTCTCTTATTGAACTGTTTTGTTGCTCAGTCTATTTTTATGGCCCACCCCATCTTTTATCCTAACTACCCTTCTGTTGGGTTCATTGATTACCTTTTCAGGTTTTACCCCTACCACTATGCACCGTTTGCTTCTGATCTCAAGGGTTTGGGCCAGTTGACTATAGAATTCGAAATTGGCACTCCTTTCAAACCCTTTGATCAGCTAATGGGAGTGTTTCCAGCTGCAAGGTACGCTTTTAATTAGACACAATCCCAAATCCTTGATCTTCTTAGCAAAACTAAGTTTTGGGTTGTTTGCAGTGCCCATGCTCTACCATTGCATTACAGGAAATTGATGAGTGATCCAAATTCACCCATTATTGATTTCTATCCCACAGGTTTTTACTTTTTTATTTTTATTTCTTGTTAAAAATGTTTTTTTCCTATCATCTTTTACTTCCAAATAAGACTTGCCTTTTTTGCTATGACTTTTATCTACTAGATTTTGAGGTTGACATGAATGGAAAGAGATATTCTTGGCAGGTCAGTTATTTTTAAATTTTGTTTCTGCTTACTAGGAGAGCAGTTGAATCCTTGTATTATTTGCTTGAGCTTTCTATGCTATGTTGAAGGGTATTGCTAAGCTTCCTTTTATCGAGGAAGATCGTCTGCTTGCTGAAATTAAGAATGTACAACATACTTTGACGGTATATACCTGATCTATTGTACCGATTGACCGCTAAAAATGACTTTTTTGCACTGACAAACCATAATTTACTTTGACACAGGAGGAAGAAATTCGGCGGAATAGCACTATGTTTGAAATGCTTTTTGTTAATGTGTCACATCCTCTCTCTCCATATATATTCTCTCTTAGCAATCAACATGGACAACTATCAGAAAAAGATCGAGCTAAAGTAATAGAAAAAATTGATCCTGTTGCCAGGTATGCATTATGATGCTCACTATACTCAATTTAAGTGCGTTCTCTCCTATTGACTTTTTTATCTTCATCATCTAGTTTGGCCAGATAGATGCTTTTGGCCTCTTTTTCTAATTTGTGCATCGTCATGGGACAATGTCCTTAATTATGGATTTATGACAATATCAACTTTTGAAAGATGAAATATATATTTTTTGGTGGGATTTAAATGGTCATTGGTTTCAGACATCATTTCCATTGTTTGTAAAAATTGATTGAAGTAACTAAAAGTCCAGCTTTAATCTGATTTTTTTTGCCTTAAACAAAATATGTGGAATGAGATTGATAGCTGATAAGAGTACTCGGGTTTAGTATTGACTATGAGCCATGTGTTGGTCTGTTTTGTAGCCAAAGTTATGGAGGAATGATGCATTACTATTTTGTGTGTGCTTCATTTTAACCACTTGGCATTTATATATCTGTTTTTTTTTTCCGACTAGATAATTTCCAACCAAAATAATATTCTTAGAGGTTTATAGTTTGGTTATATGAAATATCCATTAATTATTTATATTTAGCAACCTACAAAGTTATTTGATGCGTGTCAAATAATTCATTAAAGAGTGCATTCCACACAATCATGTAAATATTCTTCTTTCGCAGATGCATCACTTTAGCAAGTTATTTGTATTCCAAAGGATATTGCGGAAGGCTGACTTCTGAATTGAAAAACTAAGTTGATACATTGCTATTCTATAGTTGTGTGGATTTTAAAAGTCAGAATAAAATAGATGGAAAATGATACACATTACGTGATGCTAGGCATTAGAACTTCTATTTTGCTCTTTGAATATGAAAGAAAAAACTAAATGGGGATACAAATTAGAACACTACTACTGGAAGTAATTTTTTTGAGACTTTGATGATAGATTTTATATGTGCTTGGCAAATTTATCTTATATAAATCTTTCATCATTTAGATGTGGATTATAGATCATAGTTCAATAGAAATATGGATAAACATGAAAAGAAAGTTGCCACTACAGTATACATAGGTATTAGGCAACACTTATGTGATTTCCTTTGGTGAAATTTTCTTTGATACATGCGCATTTGTTAATAGAATTCTTTATGAATATCTGTCCTCAAATGTAGTCACAGATATCACAACTGTGGTTTGAGTAAATTGCAAGAGTCAAGTTAAAAAAACAGTAGGCATGATTAGGTTTTGAATAGTTCTATCTTGGGTTGGTACAACTAAGGTTTAAAATTGCGTAAATAAGCTTTAAGGCGGTGTGAGGCGTAAGCCTCACGGACGCATAATTGCGTAAATGAGAATTTAAGGGTTTTATCAGGTAAATAATAACAAGTTTCTATCATATAATAAAAAACATCTAAATAACATGTGAAATTAGTGGAAAGTAAGAAAATAGATGCAATAAAATCATGCCCCAAAGTACAAAATCACAAAATATTACTATATCAAAACTCCCAATGTACAATTAAGAAAGAACATATAAAATTTAATCATATCTCATCACTAAATGGGTCTTCAAGAGAATCTTCTTCTCCAATTGTATCTATGAATGTCATATCTTCATCATCTTCAATGCGACTCACTTTTCTCTTCCCTGTTCAATAAAAATGATCATTATTATGTTAATTTCTCACATGATATAAATATAATGCAATAGCATATAAGAAGTTGTGGAATACTTTTATTTGGTTGTTGTGATGCAGAACTAGTGGATGTACCCACTTGATCTGCTTCGGCCCTCAAGACATCCACACTTAGATCCTCTAGCTGCAAGTCTGATAATGACAAATCTATCTCATCATCTATGAACCACTCATTATCAGATAACACATCATCACACACCAATGGGTCCTTATCATCCTTCAACCCCTTGTTCCTCAACCTCCTATTTCTCAACTTCTTGTTGTGCATAATATACACTAGAAAGTTCATTTTGAGTGTTGAAAGCCGATTTCTTCTCTTTGTTTGCACTTGACTATATGTACTCTAGTTTCGCTCACACCTAGAATAAGAACAAATGATGCCCAAAACTCTAACAGCAAAATTCTGTAATTCAGGGGTTGAATCACCAAATTGGATCCACCATTCAACTATTTCCAAGAAGAAAAATGATAATCAGACATATTAAAGTGTTATGCATTTACAAAAATAAGTATACCTGGAGACCGTTTGACAATAGTTGATTCTGCTGTTTGCAGACCAAAAAATCTCTCCTTATTTCGAAATAGAACAAGTTCTAAATATGCAAGCTCCCTAACAGTCTGGTCCGGTATAAGTCATTCAATGCAATGATACAAGCCTAACTTCACCTCCGGGTTTGAAGATTTCCTCTATGAATATTGAAATTGAGGATTGATATAATACGCCTCTGCATGTAGATGATGGTGTAACTGTACCTCCCACCGAGTATCAATGATATCCCAAATCTATCTATAACTTACCTCCTCTCCTCCCAAGTTATGTGCAATCAACTCCTTCGCCTCATCCATAGCATTATAAATAAAACCGATGGCTGGTTTCTTCTCGGCATCCACTAAACGTAGAACTTGCACCAAGGGTCTCGTGCTCAATATGACATAGGTCACAGTAGCCCAAAATTTATCATTTAGAATTAGCTTTCGTATTTTCTTCCTCTCAGTTTTCTTCCCTCACGCAAAGTTAAGCCATTCTGTTGATGTAAACATTGCTTCAAGAGGTTGTCTCACATCCAGCAGGCTATGCAGTGTCAAATAAGATGTGGCAAACCTGTAGAATAAACTTGAATTAGGAATTGAAAATGATTTGCAGTGCACAAATGTAATAACGAATATAGTGGTTGCAGGGCGAATGATTTTCTTCTTTGAAAACTTTCTCATTAAGGCTAGGACCCATGAGTGGTTGTAGATGAACTTTGTGATCTTCTTCGCCCTAGAAAGAGCGCTCTTGTGTTGAGGTAAACCACCAAGTTCCTCCAATATGAGATCGATACAATGTGCTGCACATGGGGTCCAATATAGGTGTTTCCTCTTCTCCATCAACATCTGACTAGCTGCTTTGTATGCATTGGCATTTTTAGTCACCACCTGAACAACCAATTGCTCCTCAATCTCCTCAACAACCCCATCTAGTAAATTGAAAATAAATGCAGCATTTTTAACCTCATCTGAAGCTTCAACTTATCGTAAAAACACCGTGCCATAGGGATTGTTGATAAGGATGCTAATCAAACTCCTGCTCTTCATGTCAGACCATCCATCTGATATAATGGTAACACCAGTCTCAATCCATGTCCGTTTAATCTCATCACTGCTCTGCTCTGTGTTCTGCAGCTTCTCCTTCAAAATCCATGTTCGCAACTCGTACATGGAAGGTGCCTTCAACCCTCTCCCATACAACCCTACAGACCGCAGCATATTGAAGTAGGCAGGCGATGTCGCAACATTAAATGGTTTGATATTCTCAAAAAAACATCTGCCAATATCCATGCAAACCTGGCGTCGACCCTCTCTGGTACCAGCCGCAGGCATCATCTGTGCTTGTCCTATATCCTCTCCTGAATTAGTCATATACTGGTCCATCGGACCCCGTGTACTTCTATTATGTATAGCGGAGGAAGAGCCATTTCCACTCTCGCTCCTGAAGTAAGCACCATGTTCAACCCTTTCATCAAATTGCTCCTGTTGTAAGTGTTTTGCTGTGGTATTTTTCTTCATGTAAGCAATAATTTCATCATTCACCTTGTCCGACACATTTGCACACGGTGCTATGTTTTTATGAGAGCATGATAAGTTTTCCTTCATGTGGGTTACTCCACACTTCACTACTTTCTCGCAAAAATTGCATTTCAAATACACATAAGTCTTCTCATTACTGCCTATGTCAACTTGTACACTATTTCCAAGAAGGGTCCCTCCACAATGACGTATTAGACTTTTTCTTGCCCTTAACCATATTTCTTAAAGGAAAAAAGCAAATTAAAACAAAAACACTCAAAAAATTTGAAACCCTAGCTTTCCTATAATTTCAAAAATCATACTCTAAACTTTTAAAAAAACTCTAAGAACTAATCAAGAAAGGATGTGGAGGGGCGGCCGGAAATAAATTTTCCATGTTGATTATATATGCTAAAACTAAAGGATTATATAACATTTGTCAAAAATGGGGCATGAATATGCATTTTTGGGAATGTTGATTATGATGCCTCAATGGACTTTTTTCCACCATTTAAGTTAAATAATATACCTTGGATTTTTGTGCTTTTGTTTTTCAAATTGTGGTTGAAATATTCCTTTTCTATGTATATTTCAATATTGGATCGCTAAGTTTATATATTTTGAGAACTGCTGAACATCATACTATATAGAAGGCAGGCTTTAAGTTGTTGTATTTGAGGTGATGATTAAGGATTGGGAATAGTATTCTCGTGGCTCTTGTATCTCAGCATCGAACTTCAAGGTTCAATGGTTGGATTGGGGTTAAACTGAATGACGTAATAAACTGATGCATGACTAAAATGTTTTAAATGTATGTGATAAGAATTTGCACGATTTCTTGATTAAAACAATTAAGATTCAAACTATTAGCAAACAAAACGACAAAAGAAAACAATAGAGGGGTGCCTACGTTTAGGCTAAGCCACTTGCCAAACACTTGGAATATCAAAATAAGTTAGAATCTCAATAACATGTGAAGTAAATAGCTTTCAACAAAATCCCTAGTCTAACAACAAGATTAGAAGCATATAAGGCTAATTCAATTCATACGTTTACTAGGCTTGACGGAGAAAGGCAACAAGATCTTCATGATTCAATCAAATCACAAGAGTGAGTTAAACTACGAAAATACGAGAGTAGGAAGATTAGGAAACCTTTGTCACAATTTGGAAGTAATCCTCCACTGAACGGTACCAAGTTGCTCCTCTATGGCTTCGATGAGAGTATCTAGAATACACTCCATATATATCCTCGATGGTGTTGTTAATATTTGGATTAATGTCGAAGAAAGTCGAGTGAAGGATGTGCACGAAACCTTGCTCGTTGTAGGCAAGGCCGTAGTCAAGATCGGGATCGGTTATTCATCGATCTCGTTGCTTCGAAGTGTTGGAGGTGGCTTTTGCTGTCCTCGTTGCTTCCCTTTGAACTAAAGGGGTTTTCTTCAAGAATCAAAGTAGGAAGATGCAAGAGAGGGTGGCCGGCCTAGGGGAAAAGGTTTGGGCAAATTAGTTTTAGATTTTAGAGAAAGAAGGTGGAGGGAAATCAAGCAATATTTCCCCAACTAATCCTTTTAGTTTGGAAAGGATTTGGGTGTGATTAGGAAAGGGTGGGGGTGGCTAAGAGAGAAGGAAAGAAGATTTGAAATCTTCCCAAAGGGGAATAGGAAGTTGGAAAGTAATTAGGAGGTGGGGACCCAATAAGGGGGCCGGCGGCATGGAGAAAGAGAGAGAGGGGTTTGGGAAATAAAATCAAGCATTCTTAAATTGAATTATTAAATTAGGAAGGGCTTAATTAATTCCCAATTAATTTTAAAATTCAAAGGGCTAAAATTTGGTAAATTTCCTAAAATAGGATTTGTATTTTAGGTAACAATTTCAAATTCAAATAGATTTGAATTTGCAAATTAATTGAGTTACCTAAAATATTAAAACCCAATTAGGAAGGAGATAATTGCAAGCATTGATGGAGGGAACCCAATGGGGCCGACGACTTTAGCTAGGAGTTTGGATGAGGGGCCGGTGATTGGGCTAGGGATTTGGGGTGGTTGTGTGAGGTGGTGGTGGGACGAGCCGACGGGTAGGAAGGTGGGGAGGGCCGGCGATGGAGCCAGGTGAATCGTGGGATGGTGGAGGGAAGAAGGGAGCAAGAGTAGAAAAGAAAAGATACGACTAACAACGAACCCGGACTCTTCCAAGGTTAGTGGGTGATACGCTTCCCTCTCTAAGGGATCTCTCTCCAAACCTCTCTCGCTCTTGCAAGAAATCAAAATGCAGAAAAATTTTCATTCAATCATTCATTAACCTTAGAAGAGAAATATAAGGGCTATAAATAGCCTCGTATAAAAGGACTCAAAAATAAAAGACGACAGCGCCCTTAGGGCTTACATACGACCTCCCTTAAGGGGTAAAACGGGAAAAACAAATACAACATAAATAACAAAAGATATAATAAAACAAATACATGAAATGACTCAAAAATACATCGACTCGATCATGGCTATAGATCGATGGCCACGCCTCTGATATACTTTCCATGCTCTGATGTCCCCATCATAAACATAAAAAAATATTTAAATATAATTGATTCTTCTTAAACTTAAAATGTTAAAGCAAGCGAGTATATATCCTACTAATCCTCGGACTATGCAAACCTATGATGCATGACATTTCACCTCAAAGAGGCGTGCAATGTCCGACTCTCATCCAACATACCTCCGACAAGTTTCTTACACACCGAAAACATGTCCGATTAAAAAAAAAAGATTAAATATAAATTGTACACGCTTCTCCAACAAGCGTCTTAAATATTTTATGATTTTTTTTTAAAATATAATTTCTTGTAATTAAAATTTTTATTTATGTAAAATATCAAAATTGAATTGCTTATTTTCTCTCCACAACACTAAATCAATTGGCCGAACTCAATACCCTATTCATTGAATATACTCATTTTCTTTTTTCTTTGGCGGGTTGCGACTTTGGTTTCACAACAAATGTTCGATGTTATCTCAACATTGACGATTGACGTTGATACGATATCAAGATTTCAAAATCATCTCGACATCAAAGTTTGATACTATCTTGACATCGATGCTCGAAGTTTGCAATTTCTACACCCACAACTTGACAGCTCATCTTGTTCGACGTCTTAACATTGATGACCAACGCACTGTGAATATCGACGACAAACGCCCTCTCCATATCGACGCCAAATACTTACTGCATAACATCGATGCAACTCTCGACAATATTATCGTCTCCTCTCTCGACGCCTAATACACCGCATCGATGCCCGACTCTCGACATCCTAATATTAATTATTTTAAGCATAAAATCTAGTTAAATGACTTTTTATTTCTAAATTATTTTTGATATTAAATTTATTCAATTTCTATACACTATTTTTAAAATATAAAATTTATAATATAATGTCTAGTGGATTTACAAGTGTTTCTCACCAAAACCCAAAAGATCCAAGAGATAAAATTGCTGTCCTCTCAGTAAATACGGCAAAAACAGTAGAAAATGGGAACGATGGAAGAAATCGTAGGGAAAAACACTAGCAAACGATTGTATTCCCCTGTATGATGCAAGAAACAAGCAAGATAACTTTCCTTCGATTCGAGAGGAAGGAAATAACTCTCCAATCTCTAGCCGTAGTCTAGAGCCCAAAACAAGAAAACCACAAGAACTTCAAGAAACTTCAAAATGCAAGATAACCCTAATCCCCCCCTTCTCACTCTATTTAACCATAAAGGAGTTTTACAAAAGACCTCACTACCTCAAATATTTCCAAATATCTCTAAAAAAAAGACTCCTAAAATGCCCTATCACGTCGAGCTCCTCCGCCTGTTTGCGCGCGGTTCCGTCGGGTGAAGACCTGGACCGGTCCAGGGTGGACCGGTCCAGCCGGCTCCAATGCCGGCTTAACATTACTCCCCTCCCAAAGTACCACCTTGTCCTCAAGGTGGAAAGCTGGAAACTGCTCTGCAATCCTCTCCTGTGG